ACAATGACTTGTTTATACTACTCTACATATTCTTCACTGAAATAGGGAGGGATAGCTCAGTGGTTTGAGTATTGGCCTCTGAAACCAAAGGTTGTAAATTCAATTCTTGAGGTGGCTATTTAGGAATCTGGGGCAACTCTGTCAGGGATGGTACTTGGCCCTGCTGTGTATGTAGGGGACTGGACTTGATGACCTCTCTAGGTCCCTTCTGGCTTTATAAGATAGGTATATCTCAATATAATTTACATTCCAACTGATGGATGATAAATATTATAATTAGATGGTAAAAAGGAAAAAATCAGATTTTTTTCAGTAACCATGCATGGTGACACTTAAATGTTCATGTCTAATTTTGTAAGCAAGTAGTTTTTAAGCAAGCTGAAACTTTGGGGTACATTGATGAATCACACTCCTGAAAGGGATATAGTAATCTGGGAAGGTTTAGAGCTACTGGTTTAGACTGTACTCCCTTTGGAGCAGGGACTATCCCTTACTACGTGTGTGCACGCAGCTTAGCACAACAGGGTCCTGATTTCAGTGGAGGTCCCCAGAGTAACTATAATCTACTATATATTTGAGAGAGATTGTACATCTGTCCATCCATCTGTCTGTGAGTCCATTTGAAGACCTCCTCCTAAACGGTAAGAGCTAGGACCAACAAATTTGGTAAGCACCTTCCTCTGAACAAAACTTAAAGCAAGATCAGGGTTTGATTTTGCCAGGACACTGGGATGTGCCTAGAATGCAATTGCTCATGAAATGGAAATTGCCATTTTCGCGATCGGGGCTTTTTTGCTCAAAACAAATCTGAGCTGTCTACACTGGCCCTTTTGCACAAAAGCTTTGCGCAAAAGGACTTTTGCCCGAACGGGAGCAGCCTAGTATTTCCACAAGAAGCACTGATTTCAAATAGTAGGAAGCCAGTGTTCTTGCGGAAATTCAAGCGGCCAGTGTAGACAGCTGGCAAGTTTTTCCTTCGGAGGAAAACCAAAAAGATTAGGGGGCTGGAGCACATGACCTATGAGGAGAGACTGAGGGATTTGGGTTTGTTTAGAGTGCAGAAGACTTACAATTTACAGTGGGGGAGCTCTCGGTTGGATATTAGGAAAAACTATTTCACTAGGAGGGTGGTGAAGTACTGGAATGAGTTATCTAGGGAGGGGGTGGAATCTCCATCCCTAGAGGTTTTTAAGTCTCGGCTTGGCAAAGCCCTGGCTGGGATGATTGAGTTGGGATTGGTCCTGGCTTGGGCAGAGGGCTGGACTTGATGACCTCCTGAGGTGTCTTCCAGCTCTAGGATTCTATGTGCTTCTCACCTGACCCCAAGCTGCTGTACTGAGAGAGGACTGGGATTGTCCTCTCTCCTGAGTGAAGACTGCATGCTGAACCCCTCATCCCCCACCCCAGAGCTTTAAATGAAGAAAAGAGTTAAGGACTCGAGCAACGCCAGGTAGATCTTCTAGTTCATAATGTAATCAGTCCCTAGGAAATCCACCTTGCATTGTAAGCCACACAACCCTTCTAAAGTTCAGGGTAGATCAGTGCTAGGAGATGGGACCCAAGGGAGCAGAATTCAAACGTATGTTTAAAATATGTTAACAGGCTGAATCAATGGGCATTCCACGTCCTAAGTAAAGTTCAGTTATCCACCCATTGGGCAGTGCTGTGATGGGATGGAGTGAAAGAAGCTAAATTTGGAATTTCTTTTCTGGAGTATTTAATTGCATACATTAATTTTGACCATTAGATCCTAAACATAATCTGATGATGGGTTTTGGGGGGTGGCTAGGATAAACAGTAGCCACGTTAGGTCTATTCCCCCATTTCATTTCACTAAATTGCTCCACATCAAAACAAACCTTGGTGTGCTTGCTTGGCGAAGTGGCTGTGGATGTGTATTATCTGCTTCTCTCTGCCGCCAAGATCCTTGTGAGTTGTTCCAACTGAACAGAAATATTCAGAGCCCCTGGCTGGCTTCCTACGCTACGCAGATTAAGCCCAAACTACTGTCCAATCCAGGGGTTGGTACATAGCACAAACTAAATATTGATCTAAGATTCTGACACTGGAGTCAGCATTTATCCTGATGTCACATGTGCCTACATGCACACAGAGTTTATATTACACAACACACACCACACTTCTATATGCATACAGGCAGATCCACACGCGACAGCTCTAATGCCTGTAGCTATCACATTCAGACATTTTGCTTTCAGCCTATACGGATACACACAACATACGAAACTTTTATCCACATAGAAAAACCTCCCCACAGAAACCACATTTACACACCTATGCCTATTACATACACAACATATATACTTATATGTTCCCTATCCTTACACATATATGCACCAATACACACAGACACCACGTGGCACACCCACACACTGCAAATGCACCAAACAGATAATACACACACAATGCATGTATATGCACACACACATCAAAGACACATGTGCAAACAATCCAGTCACACATACCCATGAACAGGAAAACACAACACACAAACCTGAATGCATAAGACAACACAACTATACACCACACTGACATCCTTTCACAACATGAGTATACGTAAGCATGTTAAATAATAAATAAATAATAATAATAATATACTTTTATAAAAGGAGAAGCATCCGTCATACTCTCTGTCACAGAGAACATTTGAGAAAACTTGACAAGTTTCTAGGAGAAGGCAGGACCCTTGCCAAAACTCCACCCCCTCTGCTGAGGCCCCGCCCCCACCATGGAGAGGGGACCATAAGAACATGAGAACGGCTGTACTCGGTCACACCAAAGGTCCATCTAGCCCGGTATCCTGTCTGCCGACAGTGGCCGGCACCAAGTGCCCCAGAGAGGGTGGACCGAAGACAATGATCAAGCGATTTGTCTCCTGCCATCCCTCTCCAGCCTCTGACAAACAGAGGCCAAGGACACCATTTTATCCCCTGGCTAATAGCCTTTAAGGACCTAACTTCCATGAAATTATCTAGCTTCTCTTTAAACTCTATTATAGTCCTAGCCTTCACAGCCTCCTCTGGCAAGGAGTTCCACAGGTTGACTACACGCTGTGTGAAGAAGAACTTTCTTTTATTAGTTTTAAACCTGCTCCCCATTAATGTCATTTGGTGTCCTCTAGTTCTTCTATTTAGGGAACTAATAAATAACTTTTCTTTATCGGCCCTCTCCACACCACTCATGATTTTATAGCCCTCTATCATATCCCCTCTCAGTCTCCTCTTTTCTAAACTGAAAAGTCCCAGTCTCTTTAACCTCTCCTCATATGGGACCCGTTCCAAACCCCTAATCATTTTAGTTGCCCTTTTCTGAACCCTTTCCAAGGCCAAAATACCTTTTTTGAGGTGAGGAGACCACATCTGTACACAGTATTCAAGATGTGGGCGTACCATAGTTTTATACAGGGGCAGTAAGATATTCTGTGTCTTATTTTCTATCCCTTTCTTAATAATTCCTAGCATCCTACTTGCCTTTTTGACCGCCGCTGCACACTGTGTAGAAGTTTTCAGAGAACTGTCCACAATAACTCCAAGATCTCTTTCCTGATTTGTCGTAGCCAAATTAGTCCCCACATACTGTACGTATAGTTGGGGTTATTTTTCCCGAAGTGCATTACTTTACACTTATCCACATTAAATTTCATTTGCCATTTTGTTGCCCAATCACTCAGTTTGGTGAGATCTTCTTGGAGTCCCTCACAGTCTGCATCTGTCTTGACTATCCTAAACAGTTTGGTATCATCTGCAAACTTTACTACCTCACTGCTTACCCCTTTCTCCAGGTCATTTATGAATAAGTTGAAAAGGATTGGTCCCAGGACTGACCCTTGGGGGACACCACTAGTTACCCCTCTCCACTCTGAAAATTTACCATTTATTCCTACCCTTTGTTTCCTGTCTTTTAACCAGTTCTCAATCCAAGAAAGGACCTTCCCTCTTATCCCATGGCCATGTCATTTACACAAGAGCCTTTGGTGAGGGACCTTGTCAAAGGCTTTCTGAAAATTTAAGTATACTATACCTACCAGATCCCCCTTGTCCGCATGTTTGTCAACCCCTTCAAAGAACTCTAATAGATTAGTAAGACAGGATTTCCCTTTACAGAAACCATGTTGACGTTTGTCCAACAAATTATGTTCTTCTACATGATTCACAATTTTATTCTTTACTATTGTTTCGACTAATTTGCCCGGTACTGAAGTCAAGACTTACCGGTCTGTAGTTGCCAGGATCGCCTCTAGAGCCCTTTTAAAATATTGGTGTCAGTCATTAGGTACGGAAGCCGATGTAAGGGATAGGTTACAAACCACAGATGATAGCTCAGCAATTTCCCATTTGAGTTCTTTTAGAACCCTTGGATGAATGCCATCCGGTCCCGGAGATTTGTTAACATTAAGTGTTTCTATTAAGTTTTTCTCTTCCCGGGAGAAGGAGGAGCAGCGCACAGAGCGCACACAGGCCCCCCACCACCACGGGGAGGGGAAGAGTGCAAGCACGTGCCCTAGCATCCCAGGAGCAGTGGGGAGGGAAGAGGCTGCACAGCCCCATCTATCCCCGTCCCCGGGAGCAGCAGGAAGGGAGGAGGCAACGTGGCTCCAGCATCCCCGGCCCTGGAGCAGTGGGAAAGGAGGGGGCCGCATTGCCCAAGCCAGATCAAGCCTCCCCACCCCCATGAACAGCGGGGGAGGGGGAAGGCCACGTGTATGTCTACCGTCGCAACGGGACGGGTAATAAAATAATAATAATAATAATACACTACTACTGCATGACTCAGACACGTATTACACAAACAAGCCTGCACAAGACATGGCTGCAGCACAGAGACATGCATACACAACACACAGGCACCACACAAACATGCACCCACCCCACATGCACAACACATGCCCACAACCTGTGGGAACAGCCTTTTCTGCCGACGGATTCAGCAGGTTGGGTGAGGCAAATCTGCCTCTGCCCCTTTAATTGTAGCCACACCTTGGCTGGCTAAACAGGTTTGAAGTCCAGGAAAAGGAAAGAAGCCTCAAACAGCGATCAAACCCCAGGACAGCCATCCGCAAAACAGCTCCGTTTCCACATGGCCCGGCTCAGCCCAGCCTGCTCTCCAAGTAAGCAGCCAAGCAGGGAAACCAGCTCTCTGCTTTGCTTTGCTATGCTCATTTTCTCTTGCAGTCTGGTGGAGTGGAAGGGTTGTTCTGAAGAGGGGTACAGGGAGTTCTCTAGGGGTGGGGGGGGGTGTATGTGTGTGTGAGTGAGAGAGAGAGAAAGAGAGAGAGAGTGTCAGACTACTGCTCGGTGCCTCGGTTTCCCCATCTGCAATGTGGGGACAGTGCGCCTGCCCTCTTTCGTACGGAGATCTCTGAATGAAATGTGCTATGGAAGAAGCTAGGGACTATTCCTGGGTGTGCAAGATACAAGGCTGTCCCTACTGATAGGCAAAACACGCACCACAAAATTTGGGCCCCCAGTTTCATGGTGTCCTCTGCAGCCGCATGCTGTGTATGGGCTCCAGCCACCTCCAGCCCCAACCCCCAGCGGCAGCAAGCAAGGCTCAGCACCCAGGCCCCACTCACCAGGCGGCAGCAAGCAGCTCTCACGGGCTGGGGGACTCGGAGCAGGGGGCAGCCGCACAGTGGGCGGCTGGAGAGACGAGGCGCTTCCCCCGTGAACGTGCTGCTTCTCTTTGGCCAAATGCGCGTCCACCCGCTGCTCCTCTGGAGTCTCCTGGCCTGCGCCTCCCTCCCGGCCCTGCTCCCGCTTGTCAGCTCCACCATCACTACAGTAAATGGCGTCCGGTCCGGGAGAGGTGGCAACTCCTTTCCCCTCCCAGGAGGGGTACCAGTACTGGGATGTATCGAGCACCAGTACGGACAGCCCTGGCAAGAAACGTGTCAATACTTTACTTGTGGCTTCTTTGACTCCCTCTCCTTCCACCGCTAACGCTGTGGCAGAAGGCATCGCAAGTGGCTCTTAATCTCCCCCGTATTGAGCCCCACATGGACACGCTCCTATGTCTCTTGAAAAGCAGCAGGGCTAGATCCTCCGCGGGGGTAGCTCCCAGACACTGGCTGGGAATCTGGCTCCCCAGGGATCCCTGACGGGTGCACAGAGTTCAACATTGGGGTGAATAAACTAGCTCTCCTCCTTGGCAGATCTCAGCCAATCCAGGAGGGGCTGCCAACATTTCCCGGCTTTGCCCCCATGCGTAACACGACAGGGGCCGTGTCGCCTCCCAGTGCCTATTCTCTGCCAGCCTGGGGGACATCATTTCAAGAAAGATGTGGAGAAATTGGAAAGGGTACAGAGAAGAGCGACAAGAATGATTAAAGGTCTAGAGAACATGACCTATGAAGCCAGGCTTCATGAACTGGGCTTGTTTAGTTTGGAAAAAAGAAGATTAAGGGGGGACATGATAGCGGTTTTCAAATATCTAAAAGGGTGTCACAAGGAGGAAGGAGAAAATGTGTTCCTCTTGGTTTCTAAAGACAGGACAAGGAGCAATGGGCTTAAAGTGCAGCAGGGGAAGTTTAGATTGGACATTAGGAAAAAATTCCTAACTGTCAGGGTGGTCAAATATTGGAATAAATTGCCAAGGGAGGTGGTGGAATCTCCCTCTCTGGAGATATTTAAGAACAGGTTAGATAGACATCTGTCAGGGATGGTGTAAGTGGAGCTTGGTCCTGCCTTGAGGGCGGGGGGCTGGACTCGATGACCTCTCGAGGTCCCTTCCAGTCCTATTATTCTATGATAAGATTTCATGGGCAAAGACCCACTTTGTCAGATCATACATCTGATGAAGTGGGTCTTTGCCCACGTAAGCTTACGCTCCGATAATACATCGGTTAGTCTATACGGTGCTACAGGACTCCTTGTCGCTTTTGCAGATCCAGACTAACACGGTGACCCCTTTGATACCTAACTCACTCACCTCTCCTATGGGCTAGCCTACTTCAATCTCCTTTCAGTTGCTGGGATTGGTGTGCGGGTGGTATCGGTGGCCCGTGAGATACAGGTCAGACGAGAAGATCTGGTAGGGGTCCCTTCTGGCCTGCACCTCTCTGACTCAGTGGTATTTTAATTATTGGTCTGCTGCCTGCAGTTGAGAGGGGCCTGCCTCCCAGCTCTTGCAAATCAGCATTCAAGCCACTCCCTCTAAGGCTGGAGAGATTTGCACGGTGTGTGTGCAGCTCAGGGACGCACTAAACATTTTTGCTCCTCCTCAGTTTAATAAATGTCCCTCCAGGTAAGCTCATGGCTCTCGGCAAGTATTTACCTGCCTGATGAAGCAAAGGGCCCTGTTAAACTGGATGGGCTTTGCCAGAACTTCTGAAAATCAAGCCCTTCTCTTTTAACTACCATCCGGGTTCCAGAGCCCCAAAATTTGCATCTCTATTCCCAACATTCAGGGATCTTTATGTTCAACCAATAAGGGGCCAGAGCATAAATGCAGATTCCAATTCAGAAGTGTTTTGGATCCAAGATTTAGGTTCCAAGAAGGGATGTTAAAGATTAGTCGACTAATCCACTAGCCAATAAGCATTTGCTTATCGGATAGTCTTTTGACTAGTCGACTAATTGATTTCTCTGTCCCCCTTGCTGCTTCTATGAGATAAAGGCAGAAAAGCAGAGGGGAGGAAGGGGTACTTCAAAGTGGCAAGTGTTTCACCCCAAGGCAGTGTTTCAAAGGAGCAGCAGCTGCACAGATGATCTGTGGATCAGCTGTGCGGCGGCGGCCACTTTAAAATGCCATTTCTGGCATTTCAAAGGGGCAGCTGTTGTGGAGCCCAGGTCCAGCTGGGCACTCCCAGCTGACTCCAGGCTCCCCGCTGCATTTCCCCACAACCCGGGATTAGCTGGGGAGATCCCGGGTTCTGGAGAAATTCCGTGCAGAGCCCGGGATCAGCTGGACAGTCCCCAGTTGACCCTGGGTTCCACTGCCCCTTTGAAATGCAGGGAGGTGGCATTTCAAAGGGGCAGTGGAGCCCAGGGTTAACTGGGGACTCCCCAGCTGATCCCAGGCTCCGCGCAGCACTTACGCAGAACCTTGCACTTCCCACGTCCCCCGCTGACCCCGGGATCCATGGCTTTGAAATACACAAGAGCCCTCGCAGGCCGCAGGGGACCCTTGTGCATTTCAAAGCAGGCACCCGCGTACAGCCCGGAGTCAGCAGTACTTCCTGCTGGCCCCAGGCTGTACGTAGAGTTCCACTTTCCTCCTTTGAAATGTACAAGAGCCCCAGTGGGGGCTCTTGTACATTTCAAAGGAGGAAAGTGGAACTCTACGTACAGCCTGGGGCCAGCAGGAAGTACTGCTGACTCCGGGCTGAAGATCTACTGGAGGCAGGGGCACAGAGTTCTGATCCAAAATCTGTGACAAGTTTGGAGTGGGTGTTTTTGAAAATACATCTCATTATATCCCTAGAAATAGCCATTCAGGGTTTGTGCACACATGGCGTTGTTCTGGAATAGCTATTGAGCCTTACGTTCACACCTTACCTTAATCTGAATTAACTTTCAAGTTGTGTGTGCCATTCTAGATTGAGGCATGCCCAGAGTTTACAGAAGTGGTGGGTTGTGGGGTATTGCTCAAGATATATCTATTATTTAGTCTTTTCCTAGAGTCCCATAAAAAGTGACCCTGGATTTTTTTCAGCAGCTGTTTCATTCCCTGGGTTTAATCATCCTAATGAACACATTATAATAGCATTTAATTGATCCCAGTTATGCCAGTATAATTCCAGAGCAATTGCACAGATTTCAGTTGGAAGCTAGGGGAACACATGCCTGGGAGCCAGGACTCATGGGCTCTCTTTTAACTTTGGAGGAAATGTAACTTGGTTGGTTATGGACTGGGTTCTGTGCCCAGCTCTGCCCCCAGTTTGCCGTGTGACTTTACGTGTGTTGTCCCACTTACCTTGGGGTGCGTCCACACTACACCCGGAGCTCAAAATAAGATACGCAAGTTGCATAGCTCGTTGTGAGTTAATTTTGAAATAGAGCACTACTCCGAATCGTCCCTTACTCCTCGTGGAACGCAGTCTACAGGGACATCAGAATAGCAAGCCAGTTATATTTTGAAATAACGGGCTTGCTCAAAAGACGTGGAATAGCTAGTTCGGGATACTTCTGGTGGAAATAACTTCGCAGTGTAGACGTAGCTTTGGTTTCCTTAGCTTATAAACAACGAGTAGTCCTGTGGCACCTTAGAGACTAACAAAAAATATATATGGTATCATGAGCTTTTGTGGGCAAAACGTACTTCTTCAGATCTTGGAAGAGTTAATGATGGAGCTTGGGAGGAATGTTGGCTGCTTGGGAAGGACAGCCGACAGGCAGTCTTTTCTTGATATCTCATTGTGTATGTTCTTTGTCCCTCCTTAGGTAGAGAACAGCGGCTACAACCATGACAAAGGGACAGGGGTAAATAGGGGATACGTTCTATTGCAGGTACCACTCTGCAAAATCAGCCTCCTTCAGGAAGGGTCTGCCCCCAACTGGAACATACTGGAAGACCCAAAATGGCTGCTGCAGGCCCCATGGCTTGCACAGAGAACATGGCTCTGGTGGAGCTGACAAAGGAGGCTCTGGAGTTCCCGGTGCAGCAGGTGACCTGTGGTGGCTTCCAAGACAAGAAGCCAGAAGACCCCGATGCTACGCTGCTATGGGACCAGTCCCGGCACTCGTCCATGAGCGAGGGGGCTACGGAGCTTACGGCCCCACTTCGCAAGGCAGATGAGAAGAGGCTGAGTCCTGAGGGGAGCTATGTGGGCTTGGAGTTGGGGCCTACTGGAGAAGAGGAGGTTTTCCCTGGCACTTTCCCTCTGGAGGAGGAGAAGGAGGAGGAGGAGGAGGAGGAAGAGGAAGGCAACAGTATGCCTGAAGTGGCTGCCCATGTTTTCATCCCTATCGATCTCCACTGTATTGAGAAGCCAGCCATATGCCAGGACTCAGCAGGGAGCAGCGACTGCTGGAGGAGGAAGAGGCCATCATGCGCTGTGAGAAGCAAAATGGCCACCCCGAGAAGCTGGCCTTCCTCACTCGAGGCCCCCTGGGCTACTCCGCACACTATGACGAGCCAGCGGGCTATGACGGCGGCCAGGCTGTGGCCTCAATGATCGGGGCCATGATCATCTTCCCCTGCTTTGTGTACGGGGCCTATATCTTCCTGCCCTTCGATGCCCCCATGATGCCAACCATGAGCGCCCGGCTGGTCTACACCCTTCGCTGCGGAGTGTTCGCCACCTTCCCCATCATCCTAGGTGAGCAGAGACGGGCGAGGTGTTCCCCTCTCCTCCTGGCCTCACAGCGCCTCAGGCAGGTGGTTCTGGCTCTGAGAGGCAGAGCAGCTGGCTGGGGAGAGGGCAACTCACTGCCCTGACCTGTGGGGAGCTGCAAGGCCCTCTACACCCCGGAAGAGCTGGCTTGTGGTTCTCCCAGGTCAGGAGACTGACTGACCCATTCCCATCCGATGGCTGCCTAGTGGCTGACATGAAACAAGTTGGGTGGGTCTCAGCTCAGGGTGTAGTGACCACATCTCAAAACATGACCATCACTAACTGATTCCCTGGTCGGCAGACTCAGCTGAGAGGCCAAGAACTGCCTAGGCCCGTGTTTCTCAACCAGTGGTACGAGTACCCTTCGGAGTATTCGAGAGAAGGGGTACATCAACAAAACTGAAATTTGGAGAAAACTGAATTTTTGTTTTAAGTTTTACAGTGCTTTATTATTTTTGTACTTTTTACACCCAAAAATTTCATTGTCCGCCCGGCAATTTTTTAAGTTGTTTAAAAAAATGTGTTGCAATGGTAGAAAAAAATGATGTGTGTCTGAAAACTGTAGGTACTGGGGGTACTTACAATTTTTTTAAAGGGGTTCTTTATAAAAAAAGGTTGAGAAACACTGGCCTAGGCCATGGAGGATCAGAGCCCCAGCACCAATGTTCCCTCTATTTTTATCCATCCATGTGTGGAATAAATTTTGTTACATGCGCCGAGGCATTTGTGGTTATGCACTACCGGTAGAAACACATGCTTTCAGCTGTGGGCACTCTGCTAATCAGCTGGGCGGCATTTGAATCTCTACTGGGTGGCCACCCAAGCACACAGATTACAGGGAACATGCCCAGCACTCCTTCCATGTATGTCTGCTGGGAGAGGGAGGAAGGATGATGGGGAAAGATTATTTGCTGATTCCCTATTCTGTTCATTCCCTCTGGGGCACCTGATATTGGCCAGTGTCGGAAGACAGGATCCTGGGCTAGATGGACCTTTGGTCTAATCCAGTATGGCCATTCTTATGAGCCAATGATTAAATTGCTAACTGGTAATCCAGGTTCCATTCCCTGTTGACTTGGACAAGTCACTGATTTCTGTTGTGCCTCAGTTTCCCATCTACACAGTGGGGATACCAGCACTGCCCTCCCTCATGGGAGGAGGGTGGTGAAAATAAATACATCAAAGACAGTCAGGCACCCATTGCTAGTCCAACACTAAGGCCAGGTCTAGATTTAAAATTTAGGTCTAGCGACATCACTTACATGGGGGGGGGTGGGGGGCAGGAGGCTCTGGAGTTCCCGGTGCAGCAGGTGACCTGTGGTGGCTTCCAAGACAAGAAGCCAGAAGACCCCGATGCTACGCTGCTATGGGACCAGTCCCGGCACTCGTCCATGAGCGAGGGGGCTACGGAGCTTACGGCCCCACTTCGCAAGGCAGATGAGAAGAGGCTGAGTCCTGAGGGGAGCTATGTGGGCTTGGAGTTGGGGCCTACTGGAGAAGAGGAGGTTTTCCCTGGCACTTTCCCTCTGGAGGAGGAGAAGGAGGAGGAGGAGGAGGAGGAAGAGGAAGGCAACAGTATGCCTGAAGTGGCTGGGCAGGTTTTCATCCCTATCGATCTCCACTGTATTGAGAAGCCAGCCATATGCCAGGACTCAGCAGGGAGCAGCGACTGGAAGAAGCAGCAGCAGCTGCTGGGGGAGGAAGGG